CCCAGAATGTGCGTCATGAAAAACTGTGTTTTTGGCTAAATTTGAAAAATTAATTTTTGAAATAATGATTATTTCAAAATAATTTTTCCCGATAATAACTCTTTATACTTCAACTAGCCTAAACTGATTTTATCAGAATTTTTGACCAAGTCTACATTAGTCTACATAAGAATTCATTTTTTCTAAAATTGTCAAAAATCTAAATTTGTACTAAAACTAAATTTCTACATTTTGATTTAGTTGAATTTCAATTTTCTAGTATTTTTTATTGAATCCAAATGGAGGTACTTCCTTATTTACATTGTAAACTTAAAGTAAATAGATATATAAATACTGTAAAGACATTTACTTAAATGTTTTCAATGGAAATAAGGTATGTGCAGATGTCCTGTAGAAAAACTATCTCATCTGTTAACTTAGAACAAAATTTCTGAAGCAGCAGTTTCATTTCGGCAAACCGAAATGTATAAGCAAATCATTCTGGACGATCGGTTTGGGCAGTAACTATGCAACAAGGCCTCAGGCTATTTCGAACGACCAAAATAAAAAGCCTATTCATTTCGGCTGACCGAAATAAAATGGTCCAAAGGCATCCTGTCATCTCGGACGACCGAAACAAAGTGTTGATTCATTTCGGTCGACTGACTTAGTGCAGATTCAAACTTGAACTACTATTTTGCCTTAAAACTCGTGCACAATAGCTATATTTTTGAATTAGCTGCATCAAAACTCTATAAATAGAGCTGGGGACTTCGGGATTTAATGTTGCTACCATAGAGAAACATCATATAGCATCCAAAGAGCTTTTGTTCTTCTATTCATACATCTCATATCATTGGAAGAGTATTATGCTTCATTGTATTCATATATATACCCTAGAGTGAGCTAAACTTTGTACATCAAATCTACGAATATAGATCAGTCAATGATTTCTTTAGTTATATGAGATGATTATGATCCCTAGCCCAATTAAAGAGAGGAATGAGAAAAAACAGCAAACTCAAAATTTTTTTCCACCAACAAACTCAGAATTGAAAGGGAGAAAAAATGGCTTTTGCTCGACATAACGGATGATGGCAATTCATAAATTTTGCCTAATGGATACTTTAGTCATTTTGCATCCTTAATTAATATATCGTTGATAATGTTACCCCTCTGATAGTTGAGGGAGGTTTTTTGGAATAAAAATAGTCAGTGGGGGTTTAGTGAAAAAATGTGAAAGTTAGAGGGGATTTTTTGGACTTTGCCCTAAATTTAATTAAAAAGCCACTTTATTTTTTTTTCATCTAAGGCCTCATAATTTATTGAGCCGCCCCTGTCGGCCGCCGAGGGGGGGGGGGGTTCCTTTTTATAAATTCAATGAAGTTAAAACAGTAATTTTTTTGAACTTGTTGTGGGGTAATCCAGGTTTCAGTATTTTTGTACAATTGAATTGATAGGTCATCATCCTGTGCATGTGTTAGGACAATTGGCAGTTGTGCAGAGTTGATCAGTGGGAAAAGAAAAGGCAGTGTGAAATTGATTAACATTTCAAAACCAATAGTGTCCACTTAAAATTGATTCCAGCTCAAAATCACCGATTGCTGGCCCCCACGATCCCATCAATATATTTCTATCGACACAAAACGATGAAATTAGTCCCACTACTCTAAATCAATTATCCAAACAATGTCTTATCAAGAGTGTCCAAAATTTATGTTAATTGAGTTATAGAAGCGCTCATTTTGTAATTAATGTAATTACACTTCATCATTTAATTAAATACATGTCAGTCAGGTTCTTCCTCTTGATCTAGAAAATTCTCAAAAATCACAAAATGCGTCCCCAAAAATCACAAAATCCGAAAGACTTAATATTGACACAATTCTAGGTTATTACTCTTTCTTCTTTGTATATATGCACACACGCTAATATATGCACAAGCCTCATGTATGATCTTCATTTAGTCCTCTTTCTTTCTTAATATATATTTATTATTTTGGTAAATTTCTTTCTGTATATTTATTTTTATTTTGCTAAATTTATCTCTGTATATATGCACATTTAGTCCTCAATCGGTGGCAAAAACCCAAACACAGATAAGACAGACAAATATGTAAAGAGAAAGGTAGAGGAGAGACTAATTGTAGAGAGAGAAAAAGAATGAACTAAATCATTGCAGAAAGAGAGAGAATTTGCAACCTTGCAAATTTTCTAAATATGTTGAAATCTTGTAGAGAGAGAAACACCTCGTTGTAGGTAGCCCAGAGTTTCAGAAGGGTAGTTTAGTAATTTCATATGCCAAAGAGAGTGTATTTCAGTAATTTTGTATTTAACAGTCTGTCACATATAAGAAAGGTCCGTGTAAAATATTTTTATTCTTAGGGAAGGTCTTTTTAAATTTTCAAATTTAAAAAGAGATTTCTGTAATTATGTTAAATCATAGAGGAAGTTTGTATAAATTATCCTTAACAAATTCAATGAAGGTAAAACAATAATTTTTTTAAATTTGTTACCGTGTGTGATCAAGGTTTCAATATTTTTGTACAATTGAATTGATAGGTCATCATCCTGTGCCTGTTAGGACAGTTGACAGTTGTGCAGAGTCCACGTGATTAACATTTCAAAACCAATTGCTGGCCCCCACGATCGGATCCATTTCTACCGACACAAAACCACAAAATTAGTCCCACTACTCTAAAGCAATCGTCCAAACAATGTCTTATCAAGATTGTCCAAAGTTAATGTTAATTGAGTTACAGGTATATAATATTTAATTGTTAAAATAAGTCAAGTTAGACACATATCAGTTCTTCAAAATACAAATTTTTTAAAATATTTCGTTGGGTACAATTCACACTTTGATGTTCTTTTCTTCTTTCTCCATCTGAATGTGCAAGGTACTAAGATGGCCTTATGTTTAATTTCGAAACTCCCCGATGATTGTGGGATTTTTTCATAAATAAGAAATATGTTTCCTTTTATATGAAAATCAATTCAAATTTAAATTAAACTGTCATTTTTTTTAAAGGCCTGAATATATAGAATTTTAATACGTGTCCATTGATGGAACCCGTATTTACAAAATTTAATTGATTAACAATATTTGACTTCTTAATCAATTGGACGGTTATGATGTCAGCACAAAATTTAAGTGTCTACATTCTCTCTATTTATGTACGTGGGAGACACTCTGGACATGGAGACACCTAGCTTGGACGATCAAGCACAGCTGGAATTTGAAAACACAATTGATTGGGTTTCATCAAGTAGCATGATTAATTTTGGAGACACCTACAACGCCCCTTTGCCTAGGATTTTATGTATAGTTTTCATATTTGAATATATTGTGATTGTGATAATGGGTGAGCTAGGCAAAGGGAGCTAGGAATTTTTATATTATATTTAAAAAAAAATAAGTGAATGAAAAATGAATAAGAACAGAGAAAGAGGTTATTGTGTATAAATAATATAGAAATGAAACAAAAAGAAAATTTTTAAGAAAAAGAATAAAAAAATTTATATATATATGAGACTTAAAGCATCTAGCTAGCTTTAGAAAGACTTTTTTTAAAAAAAGTTTTTTGATAGAAGAAAGAGAAGTAATTTTTTTTTATAAAGAAAATGAAAAGAAATACGAGGAACAGATATATATATATTCTTAATTCTTAAGTCTTAAAAAACAAAACCACTCAAAAAAAAAAAAACCGAATCAAACAGACCTTAAACTGCAATGTGTTACTAATTCAAAATGATCATCCTGTGCATGTGTTAGAATAGTTCTGCTACATAGTTGATCAGTGTCAAAAAGTGAGTCCATCACTGAAAATGGATTCCAGCTCAAAAGCAACAATAGCTGGCGTGTCAAATCGAAGAGAAGGTATAAAAATCAATTAAATAAATATGATACCAACTTACCCAGTCCAACTTTCTATCCCAATCGACTCGTAAATTTCTTACTAATTGCCATTATCTTCACCTTCAAATTGCTACACTTAATTTCAGTAGTTCTATCATTGCGGGACACAGTGTAGGGAGCAAAAGAAGACAATGCACTAGACTTAATTGTGTTGTATTCGGTTCATCTGTTCCTTTTTCTTTTATCATTTGGCTCCCCACTCTCTTTCCTCTTTTTATTCCAAACAAAGTTTTTCCACACAATTGAGAAATGATCTGAAATTCCTTCTGCCTTCTACTTACTAAAATTCATACCAAGATTGAGGACTCTTGTAATCGATCTATTATTGTCTCTCTATTGTTGTCTTGGGATAAATTAAGAAGATCTGAGAGAATGGCTGAGAGTGTAGTAGCTTTTTTGCTCAATCACTTGGACATCTTCCTTCAACAAGAGTCGAGCCTCTTGGGAGGAATAAGGGAAGAAGCTGAGTCCATCAGAGATGAATTGGTGCGCATGAGGGCTTTCCTCAGAGTAGCTGATGACAAACAAGATATTGACCCACAGCTCCAAGCATGGGTTGACCAAGTTCGTGATGTTGCCCATGACACCGAAGATGTGCTTGACGAATTCATGCTCCGCTTCTCACGTTATCATGGGGATGGATTCTATGGTTTTCTTCGTAAGATTTGTTGCTCTATTAAGAACTTGAAAGCACGCCGTCGAATTGCTTCTCGGATACACAGAATCAAGTGTAGAGTGAGTCAAATTGCCGAGGGACATCAAAACTACAGCACTGTCTCAGAGCAAGGCTCGACCTCCGCCACTGTCAACAACACATGGTATGATCGTCGAGGTGATGCACTTCTACTGGAAGAGGCTGAGCTTGTGGGCATGGATGGGCGCAAGAAGCAGCTGATTGGGTGGCTTGTGGAGGACAGTCCAAGACTCAAAGTCGTTTCGGTGGTGGGGATGGGGGGTATGGGATATGGAGGTGAAGAATCATTTCCAATGCCATGCTTGGATCACTGTTTCTCAATCATTTAATCTCAGAGAGCTTCTCCAAGATGTAATTCGGAAACTCTTCGATGAAGCCAAGCAACAGGCCCCTCAAAGATTGGATACCATGGACAGCAATGACTTGAAAGCGGAAATCAAAGATTTCCTTCAACAGAGAAGGTACGTGCTTGTTTTTGATGATGTCTGGCAAATACATGCATGGGATGCTTTGAAATATGCATTCCCTGACAACAATAGTGGCAGCCGAATACTGCTCACGACCCGTATTGTTGATGTAGCTTCTACATCTTGTGTAGAATCTCCTGATCACATCTATACTATGGAACCATTGTCCCAAGAAGAGTCTTGGACTCTTTTCTGTAGGAAGACATTCCAAGACAACTGCTGCCCTCCAGATTTAGAGAAAGTCTCACGAAGTATCTTAGAAAAGTGTAAGGGCTTGCCACTTGCAGTTGTGGCAGTTAGTGGGGTTTTAGCTACGAAAGATAGAAGTACATCCCATGATTGGGAATTGTTTCATCGTAGCCTTGGCGCTCAGTCAGAAGGCCACGACAAACTTGAGAGCATGAAAAAGATACTTTCTCTCAGTTACTATAATTTGCCTTACTATCTAAAAATATGTTTCTTGTACTTGGGTTTATTCCCCGAAGATTACAAGATTGAGCGCATGAGAGTGATTCGACTGTGGATCGCAGAAGGATTTGTGGAAGTGAGAGTGGGAAGGACAATGGAAGAAGTTGCCGAAGGCTATCTCAAAGAGCTTATTAATAGAAGCTTGGTCCAAGTGGCAAGGATAGATGGTATTGGAAGGCTAAGAGAGTGTCGCATCCATGACCTTTTCCGTGAAGTAATTACTTCAAAGTCAAGACAACAAAACATTGCTGCCATGGTAAGCAAAGAAAGCACAACGTGGCCGGAAAAAGTTCGGCGCCTGTCAATTCAGTACACCTTGGGGAACTTGCAGCAGACAAATCGTTTTCCTCAACTCCGTTCCTTGCTCATGTTCTCGGTGGAAGAACCTATATCCAAGTCGTTGAATCCTATATTATTCAGTGGTGGGGTTAGGTTGTTAAAGGTTTTGGATCTGAGGGGTGCTTCTTTGGAGATGCTTCCAGATGAAGTCGGCAAACTATTTCATCTCAGGTAGTTAAGCTTGAGGGGAACAGAGGTTGAAACGCTTCCGAAATCCATAGGTAAGCTTGAAAATCTTGAAACTTTGGATCTCAAATACACCAATGTAACTGAGTTGCCTGTTCAGATTCTAAAGCTCCAACGTCTTCGTCATCTCTTGGTGTACAACTACAACTTGGATACATGTGGCTTTAAAGCAATAGTGGGAATAGAAGGTTTGTCTTCCTTACAAATACTCTGTTTTATTGAAGCGAACCATGAGAATGGTAGAATTGTAATGGGAGAGCTAGGGAGACTGACCCAGTTGAGGAGATTGGGAATTAGGGAGTTGAGAAGGGAGGATGGGAAGGCTTTGTGCTCCTCTCTTGAAAAGCTGAGTAACCTTCAATCATTGTCCGTAGCTTCTGTAGAAAATAAAGAGATTGTTGATATTCAACACTTGTCTTCTCCTCGTGGGTCTCTTCAACGGCTCTATTTGTGGGGACCTTTAGAAAATTTGCCCCATTGGATAACTTCTCTTCATAACCTGGTGAGATTGCGGCTTCGGTATAGCAAGTTAAGGGATGATCCATTGCAATCCCTTCAAGATTTGCCCAATCTGTTAGAAATTGTACTTTTTAAGGCTTACCGAGGGGAGGAAATGTGTATCAAATCGACAGGGTTTCAGAAGCTTAAGATATTAGAGCTTTACAGCTTAGAAGGATTGAGGTGGGTGAGAATGGAGAAGGGATCGTTGCCTCATCTTGAAAAGCTGACTATTTGGAACTGTGAGTTGTTGGAAGAGGTACCCACTGGCATTCGACATCTACTAAGTCGGTGAGATGATTAGTACTGATCAGGTCACCTAATATTTGCTTTTATTTTATTTTTATAGGATAACTGATTTGTTTTTTCTTTTGTTTTTCTTTTTCACTTTTTAATATATTATGTTATTTTATTTTTATAGAATAACTGATTCGGGGTATTCAGTTGGGAAGGAAATTATGTAGAGAGAGAAATGGAGAAAGCTAGAGTCCTTGGATAGTTGTTGAGATCTTCACTATCTAATGTTTTGTTTTTATTTTATTTTTATGGATAACTGATGTTGTTATTATTTTCTCCTTTTCAAGTAATTAAGTTGTTGTATATTGTGTTACATTGTTCACAAGCCCAAGCTCACCTACAGTTTTTTTTTTTTTGTTTTTTTCGATAATTAAACTCACCTACGGTTCTGAGTTTATATTTATTCATTGTTAATTTTTATGTAATGCATTTCATTTTATAGAGACAATGTATAAAAAAAAAGGTCAAATTCAAGAACTTGGACTCCAACAATATTTATAAGGTTGTCCAATTGTGTCTTTGTTGTTTACTATTTAAGGTAAGGTAGTGTTTGGAGGAGCCCTTCAAGGAGTAGGCACTTTGATACCGAACCAGCAACGTTGAGTACATGGAGCGATTGAATAGTCAAGTTTAAAAACTACTTAAAATTAATTCAAAATTCAACCAATCATAACTTTCAATTCGGGTAGAGTTCAAACGGACCCATAAGATACCATGAAAACCTTGAGACAAGTTTTACAATTTTTGCCAACCTCATTTACGAGATTATAGTTGTTTTCAAACTCAAAATTTGGCGATAGGACAACTTTGTGACGGATTATATGACAACTTAACTTTGTGTATTTTGAATGCTATTTTACCAAGCAAATACATGGTAGGTTTGAGAGAGAAAATAGGAAAAAAAAAAAAAAAATTTATGATAAAATTTGAACCCTAACATAACACTTTTGATAAACGTTTTAGGGGTTAACTCTTTTTTTTCAATAAAAACCTAAATTTCTCAATCAATTTTTATTTGTGAGTAATTAAATAAATACATAATCCACTTAAAGTTTTTTAAAACTATATTTTGAGTCCTCTTTCATTTGAATAAGAATCCTAATTTCCTCAACGATCTACATGTGTGAATTATTTGATAAATTGATCAATAATCTTCATATTTATTATAATTATAAAGTCGAGAGTGCATAAGAGCGTGTATATATATATATGTGTGTGTGTGATAAAAGTAGAGAAAAGAAAATTAAAGAGAGAAACTTAATTTAATTTTCGTTCTCAATTCTCCTTCAATGAATAATTCATACAAATGGGTATATACATTATTCATCTTTGAACTTATCTACTTTCTTAATTTAAGTATAAATTAAATACATTAATATTTCAACAAGAAAGAAAAAGTGTAATATCTATTAAAATTAAAGACATATACGTCTTTCAAATTCGAGATACATACCACGAATTTTTGAGCTGTGTAGCATTGCTCCAAAACATACCAGATTTATATGTATGAAATCTCAATGAGAAAAAACCACAAAATTAATAATCCATATTAAAGCATTCTACTGGATTGAAGAAAAGAAACCACATTGCTAAACTCAAACACAACCAAGCCGAGTTGCTCCAGACCTCAAACTCACTCCCACCATCTTGCAAACGAGTCGCTAACCTAACAAACAATTGCTTCGCGAACAACTTACTCCCTTCATAGTGATTTAGTACTCTTCCAAAAAATATTAGCAGTCAAAATGCGGGTGAGTAGATAAGTAGTATCTGTCAAAATAAAATAAAAAAGGTAGACAAGTATTGTCCAAAAAGAAATATTCCACAAGTATTTAATGTCTATCAAGATGAATTGACACAAAATGATGAAATGTATATCAAGATTGTCCAAACAATGGTTATACCATCATGCATAATTTTGTACCAATCCAGCTGTGTCACATTAGGGTAAAAAATTTAATTAAGCTATGTTAGGGAGCACTGCATAAGCATAAAGCGTTTCAAAATTGAAATCAGAGAAATTTTATTGAAAATTTAATTTAAATTTTCTTTAATTTCAATTACAAAGGAATTAGTGCTTCAAAATGCAACATTATTTTCAACCATCAAGATCTAACAACTTATATATATATATATATATATATATATATATATATATATATATATATTGCAGTTCCTATATATTATGTAACTTGAAGCTGCTCATAATAACCAACTTTCTACCCAGATAAATGCCAAATTTCTTACTAATTGTCATTTTCGCCTTGAAATTGCTCTAAAAAAAAAAAAAAAAAAGAACTAGATTTAATTGTGTTGGTATTTAATATATATCAGGACAGTGTAAGGCCCATAGTTAATGATGCACTAAAGGACTAGACTTAATTGTGTTGTACTTGAAAAATAAAATTTAAGAACTCAAAAAATATAAAACAATTTTGAGAGAATTATAAAAGACAATTCTATAAAAATGAATAAGGATCACCTCTTATGTTTGGATCTTATGCTTACACAAAACAATACATTGGTTACGCAAACAATATATCAGTTACGAATCAGCAATGTAAAGTTGTTACTCAAGCAATGTAAGTTAGTTGTTACAGCAAGTTTGTATTGACAAAATACCCCGAGTTTAACTGATGAATAATGAATGTCATTGTAAAATCGATAAATGCGAAGAAAAAAAAAAAAAAAACAGTATCAAAAAGGGTCAACCAAAATTTGAAATTCAAAGCAGATTTCATTTAAATGTCTTGTCAAGATTTTCTGGAGCAATGCCCATTTTATGGCTTTGAGCTGGAATCAACCTAAATAATTACCACATACCAATCCGGTTCTACCAAAATCTAAAATTCCATCTGGAAAGTCTGGCAATTGAAATCTATTTTCTATCTATTCTTCTCTGGGAGAAATTAAGAAGAAAAGAGAAAATGGCTGAGATTTCACTAATTTTTCTGCTCGACCACCTGACAATCTTCCTTCGAGAAGAGTCAGAACTCTTGGGAGGAATAAAGGAAAGAAGCTGAGTGCGTCAAAGATGAATTGGAATGCATGAGGGTGTTCTTGAGAGTAGCTGATGCAATGGAAGAGAGTGACCTTGAACTCCAAGTATGGGTTAAGCAAGTGCGTGAAGTTACCCATGACACTAAAGATGTACTGAGTGAATATAATTTCTGAGGGACATCACAAATACCGTTACAAATTTAACGTCTCAGAGCAAAGCTTAAGCTCCAATACTGTCAATAACATATGGTATGATCATCGCGGTGATGCACTGCTACTGGAAGAAGCAGAGCTTGTGGGCATTGATGAAAGTCTCCCATAATACTTGAATGCTCACCATCGAATTGCTTCTAAGATACAAATAATAAGGTCTAGAGTGAATATAATTGCTGAGTGACATCAGAAATACCGTTACAAATTTAACGTCTCAGAGCAAAGCTCAAGCTCCAATACTGTCAATAACACATGGTATGATCGTCGCGGTGATTCACTGCTACTGGAAGAAGCAGAGCTTGTGGGCATTGATGAAAGTCTACGATAATATGGAGGTGAAGAATCATTTTAAAAGCCATGCTTGGATCACTGTTTCACAATCCTTTGATCTCAAAGAGCTTCTCAAAGACTTAATTCAACAACTCTTTAATGACGTCAAGAAGCTGAAGGCACCTCAAAGATTGGAATCCATGGACAACAATAATCTGAAGGCACAACTCAAGGATTTCCTCCAACCGAGAAGTCTTGATGATGTGTGGAGTATAAATGCATGGGATGCTTTAAAATACATTACCCAACAATAATTGTGGCAGTCGAATACTACTCACAACGCGCATCAGTGAAGTAGCTTCTATCTCTTCCATAGAATCCCATGGTAACATCTACACTATGGAGCCACTATCTCCAGAGGAGTCATGGACTCTGTTTTGTAGGAAAACATTCCAAGACAACAGCTGCCCTCCACATTTAGAGGAACTCTAAGTATCTGTAAATAAGATGCGGGTGTGGATCATCCTTCAGCTTCCATTATTTTTTTTTATACAGTATTAAGTATAAAATACTGTAGACATATATATATATTATGTACAGTTATGATATGATTCAGCAAATATATTATATAATATATATGAGATTAACTTTTGGGATTGGCAAGTGGGAAAAGGATGGACACATGTAAAGTTGATTGATGCCAATATATGACCTCTAGCAGTTAAATGTGGGAATAAACAAAACTGATTTGACTTTTTGAAGTTAGTACATTTAGTACAATAAAATATATATATTCAGTATACAAAAAGAGTAACAATCAAAAGGGTGCGGATGATGAATTATGACGAGGAAGTGCGGATGACTCTAACCCGTGAAGGTACGTGAGTGAGTCTCATCCGCATGTCATTGTAGGAACATTCAGTCGCATGCTTGAAATAATAGCAAGGGTGGGATCCGTCCATCGGACCATTGGAAGATATTTATGTATATGTATCCGAATGTTATTTGTTTCTTTAACGAATTACCAATTGATGCGCAGGTCAAGGAATTTTTGAAAGACCAGACTATCGTAGCATTAAAAACTAATTTATGCTAGCCGACTAGTTGAACAAAATAGGGAATGTGATAGGCTGGCACAAGTAGAAAGCCTTGAAGGAAGAAGGACTCGAGCAATGGTTCGGCATAGTAATTACCTTGTCACTCAGTCAAGGCATTACAAGAAGAGGGTATAGCCGCGAGTCTTCCACGAGGGTGATTTGGTCTTAAAATCTGCAACACCACTAATGCGGGGTCAAAAGCCTCTAAAAATTTAGGTGGGTGAAGGGCAGCTCTTGTTCCGCTAATGTTGATCTTGTAGATTTCACGGACTCATTGGGTCCTTAGGTTTTGTTTTGTTCTTGTGTGAGGGATTCGTTTCTCTTTTGAACGCTCTTTTAGCTCTAATATATATTTATTTATCAAAAAAAAAAAAAAAAAAAATTCAGAAACAATGGAAAGGTCCATTTATAGTCATGGAAGCACTACAAGTTGGTGGATCAAATGACAGGATTCCAGACAAGACTATTAAATGTTAAATGGATAAAGAATATATTACTCCTAAAAATACTTAGTAATGTATTTGATTTTAGCATACTTACCATTGGCTTTGTATCCATCACTACCAGACTTAGCCATTCGCTTTGTATTGTATTTTAAACATACTCGGCAATTCACTTTGTATCCATTTCTAGCTTACTTAGCTTATCACTATGAATCTTGCAAGCTTAATGGTTTTAAACCTCTCTTTCAAGAAATTATAATCAAGTAAATATATTTAGTTTTTCAAGATACTTATAGTTCCTTTATTAGGATTAAATTGTTTCTTAAAGTTAGACTTAGAATATTTTAAGAAGCTTTATTGAATTACAATAACTTTATAATTTGTAAAGAGGATTTCTTAAAATTAAAGGTGTGTCTACGTGTTCTAATAAGTGTTTCACACGCACGCAAGGGGGCAACTGTAAATGTGGGTATGCACACTTATAAATATACAGCGAAATATATTGAGTCAAGCACTTTATTTTTAATTTTATTTACTTATTTGTTTATTTTATTATTATTATTTATTTGTATTCATACGCTCTTAAAAGTGCGTCTAATGCAAGTGCAAGGGGGCAACGGTAAATAAGGTGCAGATGTGGATTATCCTTCAGCTTGTGCGTGGTGGCCCGGTGGGGTTCCATTTTTTTTTTTTTTATTAATTTATTGAGTTAGTGGTTTGGTCAACTGATTAATTTTTTTTCTAATATATATATATTTTTGGTTGGCACGGGAAGTCTCTGGATAGGCCTCCTTCAGCACTCACCCGAGGCTACAAACCGGAGATGCATTTCAGCGACCTCACACCTCAGCAACAATTTCAATCGCGGATGCAAAGAAGATGGGAAGGCTTGAACCCCAGCCAATAATAGCCAATGCCAAGACCTTCCCATCTCATCCGAGCCTCAGGAGTTCTACAATATATCTTTTGTGAGTGTAACAGAATAAAATGAACTGTGAGGGTCAATTAAAACGTGTCTCGGAATTGGGATGAAGATTCAAAAGACTCCCTATCTTACCTTTAACAATATTACCAACAGCAATTACACAATCTGGTTGGTATTGAACACCTTATTCAGAACTATCTTGTGCATACTGATAATTTAATTTGGTATTTGCAAGGGGTATTACTGTAATTTCCTTATTTCTTTTTCGTAATTTTGTGATTCTCGGTGAGATATGGGGACAAAAAAAAAAAAAAGCAAATTACAATTTTATTCTTTATGTCTAATTGTTACTTATAAGCCAACTGCTTTTTGCACGCTCAGTCAATATTAATTCTAACCAAGAAAAGGCAGATAAGCATGTAATTTTTTATTTTTTATTTTGCCAACACTTGTGGTGAATTTTTTATTTTTTTATTTGCCAACACTTGTGGTGAATCTGATTGCCCATTTTAGGTACCAACAACACCAGTGTGCACTGTTGATCGGTATCATCTATTCATCTTGTGCAATCAAAGCTATTATCTTGTGTGTGCTGATCGGTAATTTAGTAATTTTATTGGGTGTTATTGTAATTGTAAGTTAAGATGAAAAATCCATTCAATAGAACAGTTGTCTTTTTCATTGTGTATTATTCTTAAGAGAAAAGAAAAGCCAGCATCAAAAAAATGATATCCAGCTACTAACCAATATTTAGATCCTCTATTGTAACCAATCCTTTTTGCACGGTGCGGAAATTTTTTTAACGTGCTTCAATTTATTTTTAACACATCTGTTTTATATTTCAACAATTTTATTCTAAAATTCAATAGATGTATTGAAATAATATTGAAGTACGTTTTAACTTCCTTAAAATCTCTTTTTTAACATCATTATTTTTCGTTTCAACACACTTGAATTCTATTTTATAACACATTTAGTCTATATATTGAAATTGTATTAAAATATAAAACAAATATGTTAAAACATAATTTAGATATATAAAGAGACATCACAATACGTGACAGCAAAGGATCCGAACTTCAAAAAATGAGCCTTCGTCAACATGGATGTGCTACCGACAGTGACGAGTAGTTAGTTCCAAATGCATCAGTTATCACTCACACAAGTTGGTGCAGATCCATTTATTTCCACTTAACACAAGTTGATGAAATGAAATTACTCCAGTCTAAAGCAATTTGTCCAAAAAATTCAAGGCAGATTAATGCAGCTCATTCAAGATTCACTGATGATTGTTAACGTATAGAGGACCCACTTTTTGCTTTTGAGATTCACTGATTCAATCCATCCACCTGCTTAATTTCAGACCACCTATAAAAATATTAACATTAGTTTTGTGTAACATTACAGTAAAAAGATAACAGCATGAAGGTGATCGAGTAAAAAAATATTTAGTGGACGAATCACGTCTTAGAACAAAATAAATAAATAAATACAATAAAAGATATTTAATTTCAATAATCTTGATCTCTTTAGCATTGTGATGCCCAAAGTTGGTTGGTTAGGTGAGTTGCCTTTGCAAAAGGACAAAAGCAGAATTTAAAGCATCAGGGGATGGGTGAAAAGGTAATTGAAATTTAATTGTCCCTTTTGTTAAATATCAAAGTCTGCCACCTTCAAGAACCCCACAAACAAGACCACCAAAATTCAGTAGTTCCACCTTTCGTATTCAAAATAATTAATTATTTCTAGTTTTAATACACTTAAATCATATTTTAACACATTTTCTCTATATATTGAAATTGTGTTAAAATATAAAACAAATATGTTGAAATATGATTATATATACATAATATAAAAAGACATCACAGTACGTGACAGTAAAGGACTACCACGATAGAGGATACGAACTCGAGAAAGTGAGGCTGCGTCAACATGGGTGTACTGCCGACGATCGCTAGTTATAAGTACTCAGCAGTTCCAAAGGCATCTATTTCCACTCACACAAGTTGGTCCAAATCCATTTATTTTCACCAAGACAAGTTATTGAAATGAAATTAGTCCAGTCTAAATTAATTTGTCCAAACAATTCAAGGCAGATTAATGCAGCTAGTTCAAGATTGTCCAAAGCATTGTTAACTCATAGAGGATCCAATTTTTGCTTTTGAGAGTCACTGATTCAATCTACCTGCATAATTAATGCACACCCATAAAACTATTAACATTAGTTTTGTGTAACATTACAATAAAAAGATAACCGCATGGGGGTGATCCAGTAAAAAAATATTTAGTGGACCAATAGTAAATTCCCGTCTTAGAACAAAAAATAAAAAATAAGTCAAAAAAATACAATAAAAGATAATTAGGTGAATTGCCTTTGCAAAAGGACAAAAGCAGAATTTAAAGATGGTGAAAAGGATATTGAAATTTAAGATTATGTATGCATTCATGTTTTAAACACATCAGGGTTTCAGCTTATGTGATTTGATCTTTAAAAATCCTTCTTACTGATCATTTGTCAATGAAGTTATCTCTTCTGTGATGAAGCTGTGAGAGTTTGCAGGGTCCAAACAAGGGTGCTTAGAACAGGGGGAGTGCTTATGAGCACTGTGTTGAGCTAGTTTGTGTGTAGAGCTGTGAAAGTTAATGTTTCAATTTGTACAAGGGGAGACCTTGGCCGAGTGGAACGAGAGGCGGCCATGATTTCTATTCTCATTTGGTTGGTTTTTCTCATAGTGTAATATTTCTTGACTAGATATTTTTAATATATAAAAATTGAATCTTTGAAAGAAAATGAGAGATTTGAGTTAAACTAAATCGAATTCCTTTTAAAGTCACAAATTAGTGGAGCT